TCTTTTACATTCCATGAGCTTCAAAATGGTGGGGTGGTACTATGCAAGGGGGGTACTTTAGTCCGAGAAATACGGTACTTCTTATGAAGATTTTGTATGACCACAGTTACATAATTATCTCTGCTGCGATAAAAGAGAGGAAACCACAATCATGATAGTGAAGAAGAATTATTCTAGAATTTAACCATCTATTTATGGTGGACACATTAGTTATCTGGTTGATCTTGAGAATACCTGCCAACTTCAGTTGGTCATCTCCAATAATTTACTATCGGAATCTCTAAAGAACGTTTTCGGTTGACCCAATCACGTTACTTCAAAAATTCTGGCACTTTGTCCAAAGACTGTCCGAATTCAGTCAATATAAACAAATGGGTATAATAAATGGGGTTTAAAAAGAATATTCAATTTTGAACACTTATCCGTTGCTCAGACTCGATTGCTCCAACACCCAACTATGGATAACATTAGTCGTAAATGAACTGCGATGTCTCAACTCAGGATTTGTTAATTAAAATCACATGTATGCATATTATTTTCATGTACATATCATACGGTAAAGAACAGAGTTTTTGCAATCGACTATTATGTATATAATTTGAATCCCGAACCATAGTAATAGCACAATTATCGAATTATAGCGCGACAAATCTAATCATCGTGGAAATCATCCCGTACGTGAAATAGATCCATCATCAGAGAAACAATTCTTACGTTCCAATCAGTCTGGATGCTTACATCAGTTTTTGATTAAACTTATGTTGAATATACCCCCGACCTTTCGATTCTTTTATATTTTAAGCTTCCCCGAAACTAACGTCTCAATGCTTTACGAGCGGTCATGTGCTGATTTGAGAAATAATTTTCAATTAATACCGCATCTCTTACTCTTAAGCTTATGCCAAAGGAAGCGAGCACTAACGTGGGACCTCCGCGCAGAAATAGTATAAAACATGAAGGTTACACATTATATTATACAGTCAACTCTGTTTATACCGGAAATGTGTACACCGGAATCTCTTCTTGCGCACCGTTCGTTTCATATGAAAATTCTTTGTTTATACCGGAGTCTCTTATAAACTTTCCATATGCCAACCCGTTCGGTATAAACGGAGTTGACTGCATTGTACAATTGATACTTTTTCGAAGGTCACGGGATTGATACAAGATAGTTCAAAATTGCATTATTTATTTATTATTTAATATGACACTAATTACATGTATAAACCAAATCATGCCCCATCGGCTTGGGCAAGAATCACTCTCGCCGGACCCATTACCAGATATGTGTCGGGCAGCCTGATCATTGGAGACAAACAGTATTCCACACGGGCATGATCCAATTCCCCTTCCGTAGCCCCATCGGCTACCATACGCCTGTCATCATACTCAGCTCCTTGAGGGACCCAAAATAGCTCTGCCTCTGGTTCAGTCATCCTCAATTTGAAGTAAAATAACGACGCGCATAGTTGGATAATGTTTGCCGCGCAATTTTCCGAGTCGAGGACCATATCCTTTGGCAGTTCCCGAGCCTTATTCATCCCCCGCATCAGATATCCGACAGTATCCTTGACAAATGGATGCTGCTTGTCCGTAAAGGAATGTAAGGCGAGCACGGCATATACCAGTTGTCTGACTTTTACCGCTGTCAAATTTCTGACCTTGTTAACATCATTATGTACTTTGAGAAATCGGTCGATTTTTTTGGTCAATTGATCAGTTAAAGAAACAATCTCGTGTTCTAACTTGTGATCGGGATTCTTGTACGAGTCGAAGCGAGCGTTATCGCGTGCGAGATATTTCGTTAATTCTGAAGAGATGAATCTAATAGCGTCTCCCTGAACAGCGTTAGAAAACTGATTCTTGGCCCTTAGTCGGCTTTTGGCCTTTGAGATTTTCCATGCTGATAGCGTTTTATCAAGCGTCTGTTCATTGACTATTACTGGCTTTGTGAATTTACAAAATTGCCTAAGTGATGCGGCTAGAGACGTCATGTCTGACGGAATTTGAGAGGAGCTTGTGGTGGCATTGTCATTGACATTAAGTGTGTCACCTAATATCGCTTGGTATTCCGATGCTTCACTTTGCAATTCCTTTATTTTTTTATCTTTTGTTTGTAGACTAGAGACTTTATCAATTATTTCTTTTTGTAGGCTTTCGTTTTCTCTCCGAATATTAATGCCTTCGGATCGTAAGATTGAACTTTCATCTTGAAGTCCTTTCAATTGTTCTTCGAGTTTGTGCTTTTCTTTTAACTGCTGTTCTTCCGTTGCGCGTTGTTGTTTCAATTTCTTAATCAGGTCCTCGTTTTGCGCTTTGATTTTGTGATTTTCCTGATGAATTTTTTCAATTTGTGTTTTAATTTCGAGAATTTCATTTTCTTTTGTTGATTTTAGTTGTTCGAATTCTTCATTACTTTTTTCGAGTATTGATGCAAGTCTCTCTCGTTCTTGTTCACTATCACGTAAAGTTTCACGTAACTTGTGGGCATGCAAGAATCCGAATGTGAACATTCAGACGATTTGGAAAGTTTGCTGCAAGAGTTGGTTTTTATTCCCAAGAGAGAACCGGCTGTTTTTGGTGCTAGTTCACTGTGAAATGTGTCATGCCAAATGGACGTGGGCGTGGGAAGTATAAAATAAAATAAAGGGCGCGACTAGTGACGCCTAACATCGATGTAATGTTCCAATTAGCAGATAAGGCATGATCATTGCGCTTTACTGAATTACATGAATTAAGGATGCAACGCCCAATGTATCAATGTTGAGAACTGGATCGTTCGTTTATTTTTTTGTTGTACGTCATGCTACTGTCATACCTTTCGTCTCTTTATTGGGCTTTGCCAGCCATCGCAAAAGATAATGTAAGACTACGATAATCACATCAGCCACAAATATAGATAGGAATGTAATCGCAGCTAATATATCAAGTGGGGGTGGGCGGAATGCTACGAAAGGATAAAGACAATGTATATTTAGTTATTATTACGCTTTTGCTTATTATTATTGTAGCATAATAATACCACTCATCTTTAGTCTCTCTATATACTCACCTATGCTCAGAATAGAGAAGACCGAACCCAATATGTCGAGTGCCATGAATCCTAAAGATATTCCATGGACTATTCGGTCCCCTGGATGGAAAAAGGAATTCTTGATTAACAGGTATGACAGATAAGAGATATGAAAGAACGTCTGTCACATACTTACGAAATATTTCATAGTACTGAGGTACAAATCCAAGTATAATCGTAACAGTTGGCAGAATGCCCAATGTCGTCTCAACCCACGTTATTCCTTTATCATTAGCAGCCTTGTATGACGAATAAATACCATTGATCAAACAGACCACGAGTAACCTAACCTGCCAACATATCCTCCACCGTTTTCTCTGTTCCCGTTTCAAACACTTACTCGTACTCCTATGACTCCGGCTGCTTGTATTCCCCCTAGTATTAGCATCCACCCAAGGTATATAAATCCATACTTTAATATCCTCTTTGGGCTCCCAACGTCGTGGGCTGCTTTATCATAGTACAAACATTGAACATAGCAGAGGACTGAAAATCCACAGAATAGTTGCGGTTGTATTATCAGAGGTATCGATAGAGAGAGAATAATTGCATATGCTCCAAAGAGTATCGCAGCGAGGGACTGGCTGGGCGTGGGAATAACAACACAGTATATAAAACATTATGCATCCCGCGATAATCATAACTATACTAACCCATATGAGCATCATCTCTTTTGATAATCCTACCAGAAATATTAAGTGACATTAATATTAATATCGATTAATTTTGGTCATAACAGCTGTTTGAGAAATATTTGTTACCTTCTGTACTCTTACGTCGCCAGTTTTTGTATGCTATTAATATTAAGAAGAACAACGGTTTATATCACATGATTGCAATCGTTGAAAAACTGCATCTCTATTGCCTCATCATTTATTTACCTTGCGGAACCAATTGAAATGAAAAGAATACGATTCCAAGCATTCCGAATACATTCTCTAGTATACGCATACTGTGGGTTATATTAAAAAAAAAAAGGGTTTATGGATAGTCAAACTCTTACCGTCCGGTGCTCAAATTATGCTATTTTATATGTGCGTTTTTTTACCCGTATCACCGAATCACTAAGGGTCACACTGCCTTGAATATGATGTCATTTAAGAACAATTCCGTATTCTTATCACAAATGTCAAAAAATCGATTTTGTTTGGTTAACTAAATCTCAACGGGGCCACCAAATTGGGACATGAAATCTCGCACACGATTCTTTTATTGCCCTCTTCGACTCTACTGGTAATTCGAACCGAAGTTTCTGATGACCCCAGGCATTTCTTTTTCAGACCAAGTGATTGTCTACCCTCTCACATTAATGAGGAATGAGCCCACAGCACGGATCACAGGCGTGCTTACTGTAGTTTTGCTTATAACATCTTGGTGAAATTCACTGTTAAAAATATAAAACGAATGGGTGGAATTATTAAGTGTTCTAGTTTGTTTATCGGGCTCACAAAGCCACTAATACTAGACGCACAAAATGTTTAACGCGGTGTTCGTTTTACTGTAAAAACCATTATGCATCAAATGCAACTAGCTATAAACATTTACATGTTGCCGCCTTGACGAACACGTGTTCTTTTGAAATAAACTCGGAAACAATAGTCGACGTTAACAGCAACAATCAACATGTAGCGTAAGTTTCACTCAGATCAACGATATTCATAAATTGTTCTAGATCCGAAGATTGTTCCCACGCACTAGCCCTCAACTTTAATTTATTACCAAACTTTAACGTATGAAAGATTGCGGACGCCTTTATTACGTAAAATTTCTCGAATTTGATTATACAATTTATAGTAAAAGATTAGGACATCGTGTTCTCTCTCTCTTATACTTTTCATATCTAAGGTCTCATATCGCTTAATTATAATTTATTACATCGTCGTTTTCAATTTTATGACATCCATTGCAAGTTGATTCTGAAGATTTTAGGACAACAGGAATTACGTAAAAGCATCTGATAGCCGGTTCGCTATACACATCCTATATAGAACACGAGCATGACTAGGCAGAAGGGCCTCCTTTGCAGACGTGCTGACAATATTGCAAGTCTGCAAAAAACCAAAGCATGAGACGTAAAATTAATTTTGAAATTGAAAGTCGGGATTCTTTTTAATAAGCATCAGGAATATCGCTACTGCGAAGCATGGAGGGGTTTACAAGACACTCGGTGATTACATGGCGAACAATGATTGAAACATACAGTCCTTGGCTCTCATATTATTATATTTCGCAATAACTCTATATCAACTATGAACCAGAAATTAAATATTATACTGATCAATGCACTTCCATCCTACTTTTCCATGTCAATTATTTCAATCTCGCAGCCAGTACCAAAGGGTTCTCCAACAAGTTCTTCCAGCTCTGCGAGAATCTCGCTATAGTCGCCCCATAAATAACTCTGTGATCGGCACTGAAACTCACTCTAGCAATTCTCTTGCCGACAATCTTCTCAACGAGTCTCCCCTGTTCTTCTATCATCTCGAATCTAGGCACACGCTGAATTCTACCAACAGCACTTATACACACTTCTCCAGAGACAACAACCGGATTTAGGTAAGTCCCGCCAATAATACCAACATTAGACAAGGTAATGGTTCCATCTTTGAAATCGCTCACAGGAATAGCATTTCGTTTACCGAGATCTAGTAACCTGTGCAATTCTCCAGCAATCTCAAATATGCTCTTCCTCTGCACTGATTTAATATTTGGCACAATCAACCCATTCGGCGTATCCATTGCAATTCCCACATTATGCTCACTCTTATACCACAACCTCACTCTTCCAACATCCGCCTTGCTCCTTATTGCATCCTCACTTCCTCCAATTATAGTCTCATTTTCATCAACTATAACTACAGAAGAATTCAGAATAGGAAATTCTTCCAGTGCCATTGAGAATGATTTAATGAAAATAGGCATAAACGTAATTTTCGAAAACGCGTATTTGTCTTTATGACGAGATATCTCGGCGTTCAAGCTGTCTCGGAATGCAAACACTGGGTCGAGAATGTACTCGTCTGAATAGCCGAAATGAGGAATGGCGAGAGATTTGGTCATCGCTTTGAACATCGAGCTTTGAATTTTGGTTAATGGGCTCAGAGTGTCTGTCATCGCTTGTGGAGGAATGGAAGTAAATAAAGTGGCTGTAGGACGAGTCATCGGGAGGAAAAGGCATAGAGTTAGAGGACAAAAAAGATAAGAAAAATGGCTATTTGATAACAACTGCACCATAGTATTGCAAAGTCGACTCACGTTCAGCTATCCCCTTGTCGCTGCCCATTCTTACGAAAGTTGTTACATCTTCCTTCAATACACGACCTGCCTTCCCCGAACCCTTTATCAATTGCAGGTCAACCTGATGTTCTCTTGCCAATCTTCTCACGGCCGGTGTTGCTAATGTCAATAAATTCGCTTTTTTTACTGTAACGACCTCTGTGAGCTTTTTGACAGTTAGCACGTCTTCAACAACTTTATCTTGATCTAAACTCGCTGGCAATGGTTCGATCGGGCTTGCATCTCGTCCTAACTCCGGATCAGCCTCTTCCACTTCAGTAAGACCAACTCCTTCTTCTCCTTCCAATTCGATATCTGCGATGGGTAATCCTACTCTGGCCATATCTCCGACCTTGTAATGAAGCTTTTTTACAGTTCCGGTATATCGTGATGTTATCTCAACAGACGCTTTGTCTGACTGGACCTCGCATATTTTGTCGAATTCGGATACTTGGTTGCCGGGCTCAACAAACCTGACAATAGATCGAGAAAAAAATTTTTTTTTTGATTAAAAGGATTTTCATGGTTTGGGTTGTTCCCTCGATATCAGAATTCACTCTTTAACCAATAATCACACAGTCAAAGTTTCTGTTTTCCTTTTTTCTGTTATTACTTACCATTGCACAACCTCGCATTCAGTTATCCCTTCGCCGACATCAGCTAATAAAAACGACTTGACGGCGTCGCGTACTTCCGTTGCATGAAACTCACGAACAGCAATCCGACTAGGAATAGAATTCCGCTGTAGATTTGAATATCAATGAATTGAGCGTGAAAAAATGGAAAAGGAGCATAGTATGAAAGACTGCAACTTACCGGTGTGCGCTGGAGATGATACGAGAGAGAGCGGGAAAAGACAATAAAAGACTGGTGGAGACGAGAATGAGTTATAGTTCGTGCATGCCACATTCACTGCCTACTTTTATTTCCTGACCAACAATTAACCGCCCATAGAAATACTTACGTTTGATCTTTCCCATGTTTTTGTCGCTACTGCTCCACTTAGTGGTCTATTTCGACAGCCAGTCCTTAAAATTTGACCCGCTATTCTTATGAACATTCTTGACAACGAGTCAGCTGCCGTGGGAAATTGAATGACGCATTCTTTTAATCGTTATGTGCATAATAAATGAGAATTTGCATTGTGAGTAAAAAGCTCATTCTAACCACAAGAACAGTCTTACCTACTCCTTGTCACATGATTTCAGGGGTTGAATTAGTATACTGTATTGTTCAACTTTTAAGGCATGTTGGCACTATAAGAATTTGTATATGGCAGCTATATCCGCAATCGAAAATCAAGTAATTTATAAATGTAAGAGTGGATCGAACCATATAAAAAAGTGTTTAAAGTGATTATATTGAACTTTGACATTGGAACCAGTATCTTCAAGTGGGCAGATAGATAAGTTTTCGTTAGACGTTCATAGTAATTTAACATACGGTATAACTCTTTATTAGATTGACATCATATAGCAATGATAGCAAATAAATTAATTTATTTAATTAATAAAGGAAAAGACCACTTTATCTAGTATTATTAAATCTATCACGGGTGATCATAGCAGGCCATTAACATTCTAGTTATTCTAATTAAAACTTAAACACCTTCCCCAACTCTTTTCCAAATTTGCTCTTTGGCTTATACGACGAAGAAGCCCCTGAACTAGATGACGGCTTCTGCACGTGGCCAAAGCTAGCATTGGCAGGTGGTGGGTATGGTTGTTGATTATGGTTTCCTTGATATCCACCATACGCGCCTCCTGTTCCACCGTACCCTGATGCGGCATATCCCTGTTGGGATGAAAAACCAGAAAATGATTTAGGTGATGCTCCGTAAGCGGAAGAAGCGGGTGGAGCATTGGAGTAGGGTGAGGGAGCAGAATTTGGTGGGCGTTGTGGGAGAGGTGGTGCCAGCGTAGAAGGGTGAACCGATGCTGAAGGGCGAGGGGGCCGTCGTAGTAGTTTTAGATCATCTACAAATTTCGTAGGCGTAATTATGTGTGTTGATCCTGGTAAAAAGATCAATGAGTAAGCGATCGAGGTAAGAGAAGACGCGTGAAAAAGAATGTGAATATGCGCATTATTTATGCTTACCGATGATTACATCTTTATTGTGTTTCTCCGATAACTCATAAGCGCTGCGCAATTCAGAGTACGTTACGCCTCCTGCCACGAAAACTATCAAGCGGCTTGCACGTGTTTCGCTCTAAAGAAATTTCAGCTTATATTAGAATGCAACTCTTATAAATCAGATAATCAATATAATTGCAAGCTTACAGTGGCCCCACGTTTATACCACTCGGCACGCGTGCTGTAACCAATGATAAAAGAGTTAGATTATCACAAAAATAGAACGTTTATTTTCTGCTCATTATCTAACCTTCTTAGTGAAACAGGCTGGACGGGTACAGCCCGGCCTCTTGATTCTCCATCCCCAGACGGGTCTCGGGCGTATGGAAATTGTGTAGCGTCAAGCTTGTCGTTGATATGATTCTGAATAAAGAGGACAGGGAAAATACGAAATAAATAACAGTTCTAGGCAGGCCATAGGCTGCTTTCCTATTAACGAACGTTCAATGCCCGACAATACCTCTAGGTAAATTTTTAGTTGTGGTATGTAGCGCGAAATGTCGTATGCACCTTCATTGATCACTTTTTGTTTAGATTTCTTC